GGCTGGAATCATTCTCTAGTGACACGAGCCCGACACGAACTCCGTTTGCTGTTCCCCTGGCACCTCACCAGCTGCTCCCTCATCCTCCCTCTCAGGCAGCAGAGGGATGCTCGTCCTTCGGACCCAAGACGGCGGCGGACACTCTGCTTCAGGGCCTAAGGGTCTCGCCTCCCGACTCCATCCTTGGGCCTAGACCAGCGGCATCAGCGCCGGCGAGACGCAAGAAGCCGCTGCCTCCAAACTTCACCCTGAGGAGGAGTGCTAGGCTCTCCAAGCAAGGCAATGGCATGCGTCAGGGACCGGTAGAGCGCGCTCAAACGGTTCTCCTGCGTGCGATGGGGGTAATCAAGCGAGAAGAGCGCATCACGAAAGAAGCTGTGGACTACTACCTGAAGCTCTTCAACAAGCCATTGGCACCGCATCACATCAGGGCGGTGGCAGCGTTGTTGGACCCAGATGGGGCTGCTTGACGAGCCTAACCAGTTCGACTTCAGCGCCCTCAGCCTCCCGGAGAGTGTGGAGCCCTGTGGCGCGTAGTGCTACTTGCTGCTTCCTGTGAGCTTGTCTTCTGCCATGAATAATCCTTTTAGTATGTTGGTGTGGAATGTACGGGGGTTGAACAATCCTGCTCGGCGTAACTCTATTCGCTTGTTTATGCAGACTTGTGATGTTTTGTTGGTGTATTTCCAAGAATCTAAGTTGAATATGGTGGATGCTGCGGTGGTCTCCCAAACTTTGGGTCCTAGTTTTGATGGTTTGATGCCTTACCGGCGGATAGCACTAGAGGGGGAATCTTGATCGCCTGGAAAATAGACATATTGCAGCTTTCAAGTGTTGTGAAGAAAGAGTTCTCTGTATCTGCTAAAGTAACCTCGTTGCTGGATGGTAAGGTTTGGATGGTAACTACTGTCTATGGGCCTCAAACAGGGCAGGACAAGAAGAGATTTCTTGAGGAACTGGAAGGCATTGGTGAACAGGTGCGGGGTCCGTGGATTCTCAATGGTGATTTCAACCTGGTGAGGCACGAGGAAGAACACAGCACGGGGAGAGCCAACAGAAGGATGGTGAGCAAGTTTTGTCATACCTTAAACAAGTTGTGTCTGCATGAGATGCCTCTGGTCGAAAGGAAATTTACATGGTGCAATGGGCAGGAGCACCCAATCATGGCGAAGCTTGACAGGCTGTTTTTCAACAATGCTTGGGAAGATGTCTACCCGATCAGTGACCTACATCCCTTGAGCTCAAGCATCTCTGATCACTGCCCCCTGCTGCTTTCCGTTTCAGCGGATCGCCCGCGGTCCTACAGATTTAGATTTGAAAACTTTTGGTGCAAATTGCCTGGATTCCTGGAGATAGTTAAAGAATCTTGGGACAAGGAGGTTTCAAGCTCAGATCCTATGCATATTTTCAGCACTAAGCTAAATCATGCTGCCAAGGCCCTCAGAAGCTGGGGACAATGGAAGCAAAGCACGATGAACCTGCAGTTCTAGATCGCCAATGAGGTCATACTCCGTTTTAATGCAGCGCAAGAAGCGAGGATACTCTCAGCAGAGGAGAGAAGATTAAGAGCGTTCCTTAAAGGGAAGTGCCTAGCGCTAGCCTCTCTGGAACGTGTTCGTCTCTGGCAGCAGGCTAAGATTAGAGACCTGCGTGAGGGGGACGCTAATTCCAAGTATTTTCACATGAAGGCCAATGGAAGGAGGAGAAAGCACCTGATTCCTTATCTTAAGGACGGAGAGCGCACGGTGGTCAACATGGAGGAGAAGTTAGATCTTGCCCACTCTTTCTTCCATAACCTGATGGGCACTCCTAAAGCTCGAAGCTGCTTGGTTAATCTTGAGGAGCTAGATTTGCTCAAAATCTCACCTGAGTCTGCTAATTCCCTAGAGGCGCCTTTCACTGAGAAAGAAGTCAGGAAAGTGGTCTTTGACATGCCATCAGATCGTGCTCCGGGCCCCGATGGCTTCTCTGGGCTGTTTTACAAGGAATGTTGGGACATTATTGCGAAGGACCTGATGGCTGTGATGAATGCTTTACATGAAGGGAGATTCCACTCCTTTGGTGGTCTAAACTCATCTATTATAACCTTGCTGGCCAAGAAGGATGTCTCTCTTCAACTCGGGGATTTCAGGCCAATCAACTTAATTCATGGCGTTGCCAAAATCTTTGCCAAAGTGTTGGCAGTTCGTTTGAAGCCCCTGCTACCGGAATTATATCCCAAGCGCAAAGTGCTTTTCTCACCAACCGAAGCATACACGAAAACTTCAAGTTTGTTCGGAACGCTGCTAAGTTGCTGCATCATAAGAAGAAGCCGACGGTGCTTATGAAAATCGATATCTCCAAGGCTTTTGACACTCTGTCCTTGGATTTCCTTCTTGAAGTTTTGCAAAAACGAGGCTTTGGGAGGAGGTGGATTTCATGGATCTGTGGGCTTCTCAGCTCGGCATCTTCCTCTGTTCTAATTAATGGAGAGTTGACGACACCTTTTGCTCTGGGTCAAGGAGTAAGGCAAGGAGACCCATTGTCCCCTGCTCTCTTTATCCTGGCTATGGACACACTGTAGGCCATATTGCTTTGGGCAACGCAACAAAACATATTACCACCTTTCGGTCTTGACAGAGGAACACCCAGGGCATCCATCTTCGTGGATGACGCTATCCTTTTTTTAGGCCAACAAGTATGGACCTTCAGGTGATATCCTGCATCCTGGATCTGTTTGGTCAGGCCTCGGGACTTCATATCAACCTTCTAAAGAGCACTACAACCAGTATTCGATGCACGGATGCTGAGGAGGATATGGTGGCGGCTCACTTCCAGTGCCAAAAACAGCAATTCCCTTTCAAGTATCTGGGCCTTCCCTTATCAATTTTTAGGCTGAGGAAAAATGACATTTGGCCACTCATTGACAAATACTCCGACAAGATGAAAGGATGGAAACCTAAGATGCTGGCTGCAGCGGGACGCTTGACTCTCACGAGTTCGGTTCTCATGGCCCTCCCCATCCATTTTATGTCAGTACTCCCTTTGCCTATTTGGGCAATCAAGATTATCGAGAGAAGGTGCAGAGGTTTTGTTTGGAAAGGGGAGGAAGACATAAACGGCGGTCACTGCCTACTCCCCTGGACTCGGGTTTGCAGACCCAAGGAGTTGGGTGGCCTCGGTTTGCCGAACCTTCGAAATTTTGGTCTTGCATTGCGCTGCAGATGGCCATGGCTGAGATGGGAGGCTGAGGAAAGGCCATGGCGCAGTCTGCCGGAAAACACCGAGAATGAGGTTTCGGCTATTTTCAATGCGGCTTGCTATGTCAAGTTGGGAAACGGTGAGATTGCACGGTTCTGGACAGATAAATGGCTGCTGGATGGACGGTCGATTGCTATGGTGGCACCGACTCTATTTTCGTTTGTGCATAATTCAGGACTCACGATCAGAGAGGCGATGCACAACAATGCCTGGATACAGGACATAAGGGGAGGCCTGTCAGTTCAAGCTCTAGCTCAGTACCTCGAGATATGGGACATCTCGCATGCTACCATCCTTGAGCCGGAGGTTGCTGATCGCTTGCTTTGGAGGCTTACTGAAAATCAACAATTCTCAGTCCATAGTGTCTACCGGATGTTCTTCATGGCAGGTATCCGTTTTCCATGCTACAAACCAATTTGGAAATCCAAAGCTCCTCCTCGCTGCAGGTTCTTTATGTGGCCGGTGGTTCATAAACGCTGTCTAACGGCGGATAATCTTCAGCGGCGCGGCTGGCCGTCTAACACAACATGTCCGCTTTGCTTGGCTGAACCAGAGGACTGTACGCATCTCTTTGTATACTGCAGATTCACGCAGTAGTTATGGCACCGGTTCAGGCAATGGACGGGTGTGTTCTTCGCCATTCCTGATAGCAGATTTAGCTGCACCGAAGACTGGTGGTTGTCAGCCAGGAAAGAGATCCCCAAGCCAGACCGGCGTAACTTCGACACCGTTGCTATCCTGGTGCACTGGAGGGTGTGGAAGGAAAGGAGTGCCAGGATCTTTGAACACAAAACAAGCAGCGTCGATCGAGTGCTCGATCTGATCAGGGATGACATTGTTGTGTGGAGAGCAGCTGGGTGTGTTTCAGACCTAGCAGCCTGATCTTCCAGGAAGGAGCTGCTCTTGCTTTTCCTTTTGTTTTCTGTAATAGCCCTTCCTTTGGCTTGGACAAGTACTTACAGCTCTAGATCGCCTAGACTGTGGTATGATTGTACTTTCACTCCTTTCTAATAAAATGCGGCCGCTGGCCCTTCGAGAGAGATAAATAGTATTCCCTTCGTTCCATAATGTAGCGTAAGTGGATTTTTCTTTTCTTTCAAAAGTCAAACTTTACAAATTTTGACCAAGTTTTATAGCAAAAAATATCTACATCAAGAATATCAAATACATATCATTAGATACATCCAGAATATAAATAATTATTTATGCTTCGGGCTGCCGAGCTGTCGTGCATACCTGATAGACGTGGACGTTGGGTGGTTGGCTGTTGAATTAATGTGACTGCCTGTGCACCTAACTTATTCGGAGATTGATTTCGACCGCCCAAAGGAATTTTTGGAACTCGATCCATTCTATATATGGAAGCCATACGGAACGGGTTGAGGAAGCATGTACGGGGAGGAGTAATTTTAAGTGTTCGTGAGAAGATATGTTGATTTTTTACTTTACAAGAAAAATATTAAAAAGAGCTTAAAAACGTTCAGTTTGTTTTGTTGACATGCCATGAAAAAGAAGACTTTTCGCGAAACTTTAAATGTGTAAATAATAGTTGGTCATCTTAATTGACATACCATACAAAATAAATGTACATGCGATTTTGCCAGTGGTGGTTGAAAGTTGGCAGTTGGCAGTTCTTAAATTGGCACTAAATGAGCGCCTAACTTACTCTGTAGACGGATTTGGACTGCGCAAATGTTTTTCTTCTTCTAAAGACTCGGTCCTTCTATATATATAGGCCACAAGGAACGAGTTCAGGAAGCATGCACTTGCAGGAGTTGAAGTTCTTGTTCAGGTATGCTTGATGTGTTAACCCTTATGTTATTCGTGTGATTGTGAATTCTTGAGGTTTGTTAGTTGCATTAGATATCCGAACTATTAGTGTTAAACTAGCAAATTGCCCACACACATGTGCAGGCAACTTCCTTTTTTTTTTGGCGAGGGCAACATCTATAATTATTATTAACCTATTCAAAATAATAATTTGGTTAATGATCAATCAAACCTTTATCGTAATAAGTCTTCAACTACAGTTATATTTATTTCACCCCTTAAGGTGGCATGTTTATTTTGACCAAAAACAAATAAAGGCGCTACCAACTTATTTCAGTCAGAGCCCACATGTATCACATCCCTTAATTTAAATAATGTACCTATGGCCCCGCTGCAGCACATAAGCTTCATGCTCCCAAGCAAGCCAGGAAGAAATTACTTACTCCGATCGAAAATATAAGTCTTCTAGGATATTGACATGGTTCTCACCATGGTGCTTTGATTTCCAGTATCTCTACAAACATGTTGCCTCACATAAAAATAATTATACACAAAAATATTGCTAGGATTAATCTAGTAATAGCGTTGTCTTATTTTAGATGTTATAGTTAATTTTCTTGAGATAGCGAACCGCTCATACCAAGCAGTGATGATATAGTTATTAATTTATAGACTACAATAGAAGTTATAAAAGAAGGCATACATTTTGGATTAGAGATAGTATGGGACATTATTTGTAATATGTTCTCAAGACTACAACGTACCTAATGCAAATTCTTGCTGTCGTTTGTTATAATCATGAATCTCCTATCCTCAAATTGTTTTCTCCATCTCCCTTATAGCATAATGAAAAATACGACCGAATCAAAATGTTTTACCACAAAAATACTTGAATACTACTACCAAAACCATCATGCCTTGTTACTTAACCATTTCTCCATTATGCTCTTTTACATGAACCTAGGTTATTTATACACAAAATATACATAATCCATATAAAATACAATATATAATTGAATTGGTATAAGATACTTTGCCCAAATGGATCATTTGTTGCTAAGATAAACCTACATGCTCAACTCTACCAAAGTGAGGGCTGAATAAACATAGTTTGTGTCGCAGAAATACAAATTTTACCCCCAATCAATTCCACACATTCCTTTGAAAAATATCACTTTGGATGCCTCATGGTTCCAAGCCTGCTAGTAGTAGTGTACATTTAGAAAGATTGTATAAGTAAATTTCATTGTAACAAAGAAATTACATAAGCTTAGCACTTAGCACTGTGAAACAATGACCCACATATAAAAGCACAAACTGAACAATGCAAAAATGGCACGAGTAAAAAATGATACGAGAGAACAAAAATATAGTGGTCTTATAAAGTCTAATTAGCTCCAAGCGACGTAACAAAGTACTAAATGCAATGTACAATCGTGTGTATTAATTAGAAGGACATTAAAGACATAATCAATATGGTTTGTGTGGTAGAAATGTATTACCCGAGGTTTAGTGGACTGATGTAAGGAAAAGGTTCCCGTGTGAGTACATCATTTCCCTCTCCCCTTTGCTCCATGGAGGTCCTCCTTGCATTAGGCTGCTATGAAGATTACCTAAGCGTTAGGTTGGTAAATTCCTTCAACTTCAATGTTAATAAGTTGCTTCTTAGATCTATTGGTCCTTATTATTTATTGATTAATAATATCAATGGTGAGATGTTTCCGATTTTTCTGAGATTTTCTAGCCTATTTTTTTCTACTTTTGATAATAGAAGATTTGTACAGTAACCATCTTGCCCAATCTACTCCCTCCGTCCACGAATAAGTGCACTTCTAGCTTTTGTCCTAGGTCAAAGTTTTAAAACTTTGACCAATTTTATAGGGAAAAGTACTAGCATTTATGACACTAAATTAATATCACTACATCTATTTTGAAATATACTTTCATAATATATCAATTTTGATGTCATATATGTTATCACTCTTTTGTATATAGTTGGTCAAAATTTCAAAACTTTGACTTAAGACAAAAGCTAGAAGTACACTTATTCGCGGACGGAGGGAGTAGACGACACTATTGCTTAGCCTCGTAGAAATTAGTATTTTGGTTCTTATGTGCGCACGTAAATATCCCCTTTATATTTTCAAGAATTTTCCTCTTTCTCTTTGTTGTAGAGGTGAGTTTGCAAGATTTCCATGCATTAGTAGTTCTCGTAACGTCCGTGCTGTGATAGGTTAATTGTGTCCGAGTGGTACATGGTTTGGCTTACTGATGTACGAGCAGTAGCCAAGTTTGAGCTAGTTGGTCCATTGGCCGAAATTTTACAAGAGTTGAGAGAAAAGGCAGTACAAAGGGTCATCGGTCTAGGCGTTCTAGAGCTGAAAACCAACAGAGCAAAGGCTCCGAGGAGTTAGTACTAGTCTGATTCGGTTAGGTTGGTCAGTTTTGAGTCCAAGTGGGTTTTAGCCAGCCCATGTCGATGCATATCATAGAACGCTGTGCAAGTTTGTACTAATAGGAAACTGAGAGAAAGAAAAAAGATAGAGGGTACCATAGATGCCCTTGGCTAAGAGTTTTCCGAACATGTGTGTCATGGTATTTTTCGATGTGATCGATGTGTGGGCAAATCCAGCACACTTTGCACTCTAGGCTCAGATCTACTGCCCCCTCGCCGCCCCCACCCCCAGCGATTTGTCGCTCATCCATTGGCACCCTGTATTATTTTTCCAGAAATGCATCCGGTACCTTTTCCCCCCTAAGACGGATCCCTGCTACTAATGGGCCTGTATGTCAATGCTTAACCGTCATGCCCGTGTGGCCTAACACCACCAATGCGTGTCATGGAGTTGAGCGCCACACCCCTTGGGCCATCCACCACCACCATGAAATACATAGTTGGCCAACAACACATCCTAGTGAGATAACTCATGTTCCAACAATGATATCGGAAGTAATTGTTGCAGAAGCTCCCGACGGGTACCTGCCGGTTGTCTTTAGTATGTTTTCTATTAGTACATGGATTGGACCCCTAAATCTAGTGAGTTGAACTGCTATGTTATAGCATTATAATCTAGTTAGTCAATATTTTAATTAGCAATTTTGCCTGCCAATAACCAATGAATACAATCACATATGTTCTTAACTACGAATGAATGCAGCATTCCAGGTTTCCCATATTTAAGTCACGCAGTTTATACGTAATATATTATTCAACATTTTCATTATTTTAATGTTGATGGAAATTGCTAGGTTGCGATAAGCTTTTGCAATTCCAATGATTTTAGCGTTTTTATTTTATTTCACAATGTTGAAACACTATTGTATTAACTGAACAAAGAAAATTTGGGATTTTCACAAATTAAGGACATTTGTGGGTTAGACATAGGCTGGAGTGGATATAGCAGTGGCCGATTTCGTTCACGAAATAGGCATGTGCGTAAACCAGACTTTTTCTCTATCACCACTTTTAAGATGGGACCCACTACATAGTAAACATGCCATTTCTCTCTCTTTAAAATATATGCATTCGGTTCTCTCTCTTTGGCATGCACATGAATCGTGAGCCTTTTCAACCATGGAGAGGAGGTAGCATGCAAAGCAAATATTTGTTTATTGTCACTTTGGATTTGGCATCGACGCTCCTAGCATCTCCGGTTCTCTCTTTTGTCTGATTTGGCATTCTTTTCTTTGATTTGGCAACACCTCCACAATTTTGAGAACCAATGCCAAAAGCTATTTTAGCATCTTGGAACTACCATTTGGCCACACAATGTGGATGCCCTAACACCATCAATGCGTGTCATGGAGTTGAGCGCCACATCCCTTGGGCCATCCACCACCACCATAAGTTACAGAGTTGGCAAACAACGCATCCTAGTGAGATAACTCATGTTCCGACAATGATATCGGAAGTAATTGTTGCAGAAGTTCCCGACGGGTACCTGCCGGTTGTCTTTTGTATGTTTTCTATTAGTACATGGATTGGACCCCTAAATCCAGTGAATTGAACTGCTATGTTACACCATTATAATCTAGTTAGTCAATATTTTAATTACCAATTTTTTTTCTGCCAATAACCAATTAATACAGTCACATATGTTCTTAACTACGAGTGAATGTATTATTCCAGGTTTCCCATATTGAAGTCACCCAGTTTGTACGTAATATATTATTCAACCTTTTCATTATTTTAATGTTGATGGAAATTGCTAGGTTGCGATAAGCTTTTGCAATTCCAATGATTTTAGCGTTTTTATTTTATTTCACAATGTTGAAACACTATTGTATTAACTGAACAAAGAAAATTTGGGATTTTCACAATTCGGGATATTTGTGGGTTAGACATAGGCTGGATTGGATATTGCAGTTGCTGATTTCATTCACGAAATAGGCATGTGCGTAAACTACACTTTTTCTCTATCAAGTGAGAATAGAAGTGAAGAAGAAATATTTAGGCAAAAATTTGGTGCATTAGCCTTGCCTTGTGAGTAGATTTAGGTCCAAGGACATTTCAGTTTACCAAGATCCATTGTTTATGGAGGTTAATGTGTCATATTCATAAGATTACATATCGATACAACATGCATAGTAAATATGACACTTTAGAAACTTTTAATTTCCTACATATTGGCACTTTAGTTTTAATTAGCTTGCTTGCCTTTGTCATATTTAATTTATATTTAAGAAGCGATCTTAGCTTGTTTGGTTGAGGACGTGGAATGTACAATTCCGTTCATCACTTATGTTCAAGTCCTTGGAGACACAGTTTTGGTTTCCTACTTAGGGTCAACCTTATAATTTTCCTTCAAAACATATTTTTTTGGTTAATGGTACACACATGAAGTTATCTAGCAGTCACCAATCATTTAAATTCATACTCATGATTTTCATGTTTTTCCAGTACCAACATAACTACAAACCATAGCAACATGGACTTGCCAATTGGCACTGTGTGGTTGGTCCTAGCCATTATTCTGATAACTGCAATAGTCACCAAGATTGCAAATGCAAGAGTTACATTTGATCCAGTTTGTACACGACCACCTCCACCCGTGGTGAATAACATTGCTCTTATAAAACTCTTACCTACCCTGTGTACAAAGGGCCCTGAAGTTACAATGACCTATCTGTATAACAAGTTTGGCAGTGTGTTCACAGTTAGCATTCTTTGGAAAAGGATAACCTTCTTGGTTGGGCCAGAGGTCTCTGGTCCTTTCTTTCAAGGTTCTGAGTCAGAGGTTTCCCAAGGTAATTTCAACGAGTTCACTGTGCCCATGTTTGGCCAAGAGAATGGATTTGCCGTAGATTCCTCCACTCGAATGGATGAGATTCGCTTCTACATTGATGCTCTAAAGCCATCACAGCTCAGGAGCCATGTTGACCCCATGCTTCGTGAAGTGGAGGTAATAATATCAGTCATTGTGCCTCCTCACGTAATTAAATTTCTAAACTGAACCTGCAATTGATTCAGGGAGTATACAAAGCTTGATACTTTTTTGATTTCAAAATAGATGACATTCTTTTACATTTCAAATTCTCAAGACAACAACTTTGACTCTGATCTTTTGTTTTCATTCCAGTTTCTAGTTTTTTTAGTCCAATGTACTATGCATTATTTAATTTAATCAAAGAAGTTGGATTGCTGCTCAAAAGATTACTAAAGAACCTACTTGATACTTCATGTTACTCCCTAAATAGACGACGTTTCTTACTTTGCAAAGTCCCAAGAGAGAAAAATGACCATTAAGGTTATTGTGAAATTGTAAGTATAATTTGCTAAAAAAATATACCGAGTCAGATATTTTATGAAAATTAGACAGCAAGTCCTATCTAACAATTTTCTATTTTTTTCTGCAAGTTTTGAATTGTTTGTTAATAAAAAAAGTAGTTAAGTTTAACCAGATGTGCTTTCTATTATGCAATTAATGTATTCTGGAATGAGATTATATATATTTCTTAAATTAATATATACAACTATGATGAAATCCACACTATTTAAAGTAGTCTGTACGTGCCATAAATAAAATTAGTCTGATCTCCATGCTCATGTAGTTCTCCTTTGTAAAATAATACAATAAACAAGTAAACAAATGTAAATAATACTATTTGTTCAATTTTTCTTTAGAAGTCTGTATAGTTTGACACTTAATCTGGTTACTGCGCAGAACGATACCAAAATAAGATAGGCAACATTATCAGAAAATCATTTTTTGTAACAAAACTACTATTGAAACAAGGTCAATACATTATTAATAACTAGATACATCAGTCCTTTGTTAAATGTAAAAATATGGGATTCCATGATGTTTAGTAGCGATAAGGTTTAGAATTTTGATAAAATATTATTTTGGACCTCTATAAATATGTAATTTTATCCATTTCATATTTGTTTCATTCATATTTAAATGCATTTAGAGATTTTTTAATATAGTCCATACTGTTGGGGTAACTAGTATTGTTGTACCCATGAAATTACCGAAATTTTGCAAATATTCTTTGAAATTTTAAACCTGGATACAATGTACTATATGGAAATTTGCATGTCGGAAGTTATTGTACTGGAAAGACGAATATTCATTTGAAAAAAATGAATTATTAATTTGCGTCATATTAGTGTAACATATATTTCATTAGCCAGACATGTTGCGCAATACAAATATTATATCAATGTTTCCTAAAAGGTATAATATTTCAAGATGCTATATATGTGCTTGTGAATTTGCTACATATGGTTAACACAACTAATAGATCGTTGTGATAATGTATTATATTCAACAGGACTACTTTGGAAAATGGGGAGAAGTCGGGGTAGTCGATCTAAAAGATGAGTTCAACCATATACTCATGTTAATCGCAAGCCGATGCTTACTCGGAAAAGAGGTTCGAGAGAAGATATTTGGCGAGTTTTACACATTGTTTACTGAAATTGAAGCAGGAATGAACTTCGTCAGTTTCGTGCTCCCATATATCCCTATTCCAGTAAATAGGCGACGTGATAGAGCTCGCGTCAAGCTTACAGAGATTGTTTCAGAGATTCTGAGGTCACGAAAGATATGCAACCGCGTCGAGGAGGATGTGCTCCAGAAGTTGATGGATTCCAGGTATAAAGATGGTCGCCGTACAACAGAAGCAGCTGTCGCAGGAATGATCATCGCATTGATATTTGCTGGAAAACATACAAGCGCTGTGATATCCACCTGGACTGGAGCTTGCCTATTGACCCATGAAAAGTTCTTAGATGCTGTTGTCAATGAGCAAAAAGAAATAATGAGGACATATGAGGACATGATAGACTATAATGTCTTATTAGAGATGGAGACACTGCATAGTTGCATCAAAGAGGCTGGACGTGTGAATCCAATATCGATTGGGTTGGTACGCCAAGCACAAAAGAACATCATAGTGAGGACAAAAGAGGGAGTTGAATACGACATCCCAAAACACTAGTAGAAAAAGAGGCTTCCGTCCAGCCCCATTAGTCGCGAAACTGTAGGAACCGCGACTAATGAAGTCTTTAGTCGCGGTTCGGCAGATGAACCGCGACCAAATGCCTGGGCCCAGGGCGCTCGCGGGCTTTAGTCGCGGTTTGTGGCACGAACCGGAACTAATGGGGTTGAGACCTTTAGTCCCGGTTCGTGCCACGAACCGGTACTAAAGGTCCCATTTTCAAACTCTACACCCCCCTCGGATCGCCTTTTCAGTTTTAAAAAAAATAAAAGAAAATAATGGAAATGTCAAAAAAATAAAAGAAAATAAGTTTCTCATGTGATATGTGGTCTAGTTGTTGGGAAAATTTGCAAATGTGAATTTTGACTTTATTTGCAAAATCTCTCTGAAATTTGTAAAAATGGGCATAACTTTTGCATACTAACTCGGATGAAAAAGTTTTTTATATGAAAAATCATCTACTCGAAAAGTTACATCCAAATTTAACTGGGGGAACCCCGTTAAACATTTTCAAAATCCTCAAAAACCTAATAGAAAAAAAGTTACGGGGCTTGTAAGATCTAGAGTGGAAAAAATTGAAAAATATTCAAACAGTGGGCAAACTATGGTCAAACAATGGTCAAACTAATTATTCTAGAATATTAGTGTTACTAAATAATTATTTTAATTATTTCAATTTTGGTCAAATCTGGTCAAACTGTGGTCAAACTGTGGTCAAACAATGGTCAAACTAATTATTCAAGAAATACTAGTGTTACTAAATAATTATTGTTTTTTAAAACAATAGTTTCAAACTCAAACAGTGAAATGTGTCACTTCATGCTCAAGCAAAATTCCTGAAGGTTAATAGGATTGACATCTTATTATTGTCAGGAAAACAACAAGTGCAGACTTGGAGCGTGGGAGAATAGAACCCGGAAGTTAAGCGTGCTTGGGCTGGAGTAGTGAGAGGGATGGGTGACCGGTTGGGAAGTTAGATGATTTGGAATGATGAGGGGTGATAAAAGAATAAATTGAGAAGTGATGAGGGGTGGTGATTAGAGACTAGAGGATAAAATAATTCAGAAATTTGAAAAAAAAAATTCAATTTTTTTTTTCAAAAACCTGTGGCGGCCTTTAGTCGCGGTTAGCCACAAGAACCGCGACTAAAGGTCCTCCGCCCACGTGGACGGGCCTTTAGTCGCGGTTCTTAAGCAACCGCGACTAAAGGGGGGGGCCTTTAGTCGCGCCCGTCTGGTCGCGGTTGCGCAACCGCGACTAATGGCAGTTGCGAACCGCGACCAAAGGCCCTTTTTCCACCAGTGAAAGGTGACACCTTGGTAAATCTTGTAATGCTAACTAGCAAATTGCCACACATTTACAAGGACCCTGAGGTATATGACCCTGACCGGTTTCGTTCCGGAAGGGACGAGGACAAAGTTGGTGGTAAATTCTCTTATGGAATTTTTGGTGGTGGAAGGCATGCTTGCGCTGGGGAGGCCTATGCTTTTATGCAAATCAAAATTATATGGAGCCATTTGCTGAGAAATTTTGAACTCAAATTGACTTCTCCTTTTCCCAAGGCAGATTGGAGCAAGTATGCACTAGAGCCAAAAGGGAAAGTGATGGTAAACTATAAGAGACGCCATCTAGCAAGCAACTAAGATATGTCATATGTCCATCGACACGTAATTTCCTGGATACATATTTGCGTGTGTGTAGTTATCTATGGTATTATGAGTATCATAAGGCCAAGTTGTGTATAATTTCATGTTTGATTGTTTCTACTTAATTGTCAAAACATTTGGCTGGTCAGCCATATTCTGTAAGACTATAACAATTATTGCCGTATGTTTCTGTTTATCTACAACTACATTTAGTTTATTGTTCTATTTTTATGCGTGGATGTGCTGCATTGACCTAACTACTGTACTTCATAGTAATAATAGACTTAGTAGGAGTAGATAAGCGGGGCTGGCATTTTGGCTCCTGGGAGCATTTGCTCCCGGATGAACAGTAACGCGAAAAAATATAATAAATGTTTTAGAAAAATTCTGAATTTTTTTGTAGATGATTCTGTTAGTGTCGCAAACATGCATGTCAATTTTCATGCCAAACGGAACGGCGGTATTTCATCGGAAAAAATAATAATTGAGATGACATTTTGGGGTAACTTTTGGTGTTCGATTTGTCTTTTTTGTACAAGCCAAAATGTTTAATATTTTTGCCTCAAAATTTGCAGGTGACATTTGGATGTGACTAAGTACACCAATTTTTTTTTTCATTTCAAAATATGTTTTGGCCCCGGGAGCAAATGCTCCCGGGAGCCAAATTGACTTTCGCTAGATAAGCTAGATACCTTTAGGTGAGAATTTTTGTATTACTGCATACTCACTAGAGGCCGTTTTACAATGGGAAAAGTCAGACCATGCCACTGCCAAAGTTGCATATTCGAGTTCTTCCACTTAAACGTGCGTTTTCGGTTTGTGCCACTGTCGGTGTACTAGAGTAGGGGTACCCTAGTATTCCAAACTTGTGCACGGGCAGTTGCAGCCACCCGCGGCAAGGCTTGCCGGGTGACCGCCAAGGTCCTCCGCGGTTCCTGTGGAGCCGTTCAAGAACAAAGTATCTAAGCCAAGGAGACAAGGCCCCGGCAAGAGGAGCTTGCCGGGAAGGCCAACCAAGGCATAAGAGCAAAGTATCCAAGCCAAGGAGACAAGGCCCCGGCAAGAGGAGCTTGCCGGGAAGGCCCACCAAGGCATCTCAAGGAGTTTGCCGCGACGCGCCACGCGTCCCGGCAAGGCCCGGGGAGCGACAAGCCTCCGGACGGGACAAGACAATGACCAGGCAAGGCACTTGCCGCGGCACGCTACCACCCTGTACCTACGCTCCAGCGCATCCACCAACGTGTCGCCCTGGGGCCTTTCCAGGCGCGCGTGGCGAGAGGCTGTGCAGCCAGCGGTACGCGGTGGCAAGCGGCGCTGACAAGATTGCCATCGTGGCGAGCGGTGGCGTCCCTGACGGTCCCTGTTTGCACTATTTGGGCGACATAGACGGGCATTTAATGTCTTTGTCCCCTGCTGTCAGGGTTAGGTATGATACACTGTACAGGTTGCTGTACCAACCACAAGTCCTTTTCCATTTTTACCCTTGTCTACGTTGCCACCTGTTGGTGACCCCTTGAGCATATAAAAGGAGGCCCATGCGCAACGTAGAGGGGGGTTCGGAAGGTTCGTAGCCAGAAAACATTCACGCTCGCTCTCGTTAGCAGCTAGAGTGTACTGTAGCACTTAGCGCTCCCGAGCAAGAACTCAATACAATCAGACAAGCAGCAGTAGGAGTATTATCTCTCCGGAGAGCTCCGAAGCTGGGTAAACCGCTCGTGTGCTTCGCCTCGATCTGCTCTTCGTGCGATCTCTGCCCCCCGCCGAACCGAAAGGGGCACGGTCCGCCGGTCCCATAGGTGTTCGTGGATCAGTTTCCCCGACATCTTTGACGCGCCAGGTAGGGGGCGTCGAGATTGTGTGAACCTGATCCGGCATTCACACGGGCTAGATCTTCATTTTCTTCATCGACATGCCACCGAAGAAGAAGACTTCGGCGGCAACTATTCCTTCCTCGTCGATCCCACCACCACCGGAGCAAACGGGTGGTGGAGTAGACGTCGGAGGAAGAACGGACGTCGACGAGGAAACCCACGGTACTGCCAGATCCAAGGAGAAGGCTGCACAGACCTCGGCGTCCGTACATGTACCGCGCCCATCTCAGGAGGCGCAGGACCGACAACGTCATGGTATTCGCAGTGCCATACATTTGTTGGACCAAGATCGAGCTGGAGGATCTCGGGGTGCTCAAGATCAGCGTGCACGCCAACATGCTGGCACGAGTGAAGCACGGTCGCCTGGATGGAATACTGCTCCTTCTAACATAGTTAGAAGTCCGAGCATATCCCGCTCCTCGCACCGTTCGCCACTGCCGCCCACCACTCCAGCAGAAGCTTTGGCGCCAGCTCAACTACTCCTGGATTACCCTCCAACGGCAGACAAGATCGATGAATGGAGGGCCACCATTCAGAGTCTCATCGGCTTTGCCAACGGCGACACTCCACGACAGCCGAGTACATCGCTGCCACGGCAGGACTGCCGGGCGCGAGCCGATGGCGATGAAACCGGTGGGGGTGCAACCACCAAGCACTCTCCACCCAGAAGGCCAAGATCGCCGACTCGCCAGATCCACCTCGACAGCGACTCCACCGCGTCATCAGATCCACGAGCTCGTCGCGATCAACGCCAAGTTCTTCACGAACGACAGCAAGAGGACGCTCGAACTCGCATCGAGCGCCGAAGAGAAGCGCGGTGTCAATCAGACCAGCGCGCTGGGCCCTCTGTCGACATGCATGCGCCAGGGGAACCAGGCGACTTGCCGTACGCGGTAGGTTGCCCTGCGTTCACTCGTGAGCTGCGGCAAGTCCAGTGGCTCAGCACGAAGAATTTCAAGCCAGACGTGCCAGAGAAGTACGACGACAAGTCGCATCCGTCGGAGTTCCTCAGCATCTACACCATAGCGGTGCAAGCTGCTGGGGGGCGGGACGACAAGATCCTTGCCAACTACTTCCCGCTGGTACTCAAGCCCAATGTCAGATCCTGGCTCATGCACTTGCCGAACAACTCCATATCCTCCTGGGTAGACCTATGCCATCAGTTTGTCGGCGCTTTTACAGGAGGCCACAAGCCTCCTGGCCAAGAAAGCGACCTTCACCTGCTCGCCCAGAAGGAAGGAGAGCCCCTGCGCAAGTACATTCAGAGATTCAGCCGCGTACAGCACAACATCCCAGATGTCCACCCTGCCGCGGTAATCAGCGCGTTCCATCAGAACGTGCGAAACCGCAGGATGCGGGAGGAGATGGCGATGTGCAAGATCAAAGATGTCAATGGGCTATATGCCCTGGCCGACAAGTGTGCGCGTGCTGAGGAGGGGAGGAAACTCCCCGGAGAGAATATAGAAGCAGCAGGATCAGATAGTGAGGGGACCGCTCTGGCAAAGAAAAACCGGCGGCGGAACAACAAGAAAAAGAAAGGCAAAGATGTGGTAGTCATTGAGCAGTCCGGCAACGGAAGTGGTGCCAAGAAAGCCAAAGCTGGTAGCTTCGACGACAACAACTACCAGGCTGTGGCGGTCGCCGACAAGCAGGACGACACAAACAAGCAGAACTGCAAAATCCACCGCACCAAGGGCCATGACCTCCGGAGCTGCAAGAAGGTCGAGCAGCTTGTTGAACAGCAAAAGGCTGAATACGAGCGACGCGACAAGGAGAAGGCTCAGGAAGGTGCTGGAGGAGCCGGCAAGAAACGCCCCGGCCGAGGAGGACACCGCGACAAAGCAAAGCAGCGGCAAGGAGACCGACCTCCCCGCGGCCGCGACAAGGATGAAGATGACGACGAGGATGAAGATATGGATGATGACGAGATCGATGAGCAGGAGTTCCAGAAAGCCACAGAGGTCATGTGCATTGATGGCGGTGCATCTCTGCATACTTCCCACCGCCAGCTCAAGCAGTGGATGCGGGAAGTGAATGCAGCAGAACCACCCGTCAAGTCACGCAGGCCTCTGAAATGGTCCAGCACGCCTATCATCTTTGATATTGAGGACCACCCTGATCGCATAACTGCGGTCGGGTGCCTGCCGATGTTGGTTTCACCAACGATCCGCAACCTCAAGGTCACTAAGATGCTAGTTGACGGCGGGGCCGGCTTGAACCTGATCTCCTCCGCGGTACTCCAGAAACTCCAGATCCCTGATAGTGAGCTTGAAGAGACCGGCACATTCCAAGGAATCAATCCGGGAAGGAGCAAGCCGAAGGGAAAGATCACGTTGCCGGTGACATTTGGCAGCGAGTTGAACTTCAGAACTGAGAGGGTCATGTTTGGCGTCACTGACTTTCCATTGCCTTACAATGGGATACTCGGCCGTCCAACACTCGCCAAATTTATGGCAGCCTCTCACTATGCATACAACGTGTTGAAGATGCCAGGCCCGATAAGTGTCATCTCTGTCCCTGGCGACAAGAAGGATGCCCTTATCTGCGCCGACAAGATCTAGCGGGAAGCAGCAGCCGCAGTGGATCGCAAACCACTTGCCGTTGAAGCTCCCGGGGCGAAGAAGAAGACCAAGTCCGGTAAGAGTACTGATGCCCACTCCGGCAAGCGCACCTCTTCGGAGTGCTGTGCTACCGTCGATGACGCACCATCGAGCTCCACCGGCAAGTGTAAGAAGGCAATGGCAGCTCCACCAGAGACCAAGAAGGTGTCCGCCAAGGAGGACGGCACTGGTGGTACTTTCACCATCAGTGCCACTCTTGACCCTAAATAGGAAAGTGCGCTCGTTGCTTTCCTGCGGGCGAACATCGACATGTTTGCGTGGCAACCGTCTGACATCCCCGGTGTTCCCAGGAAAGTAATCGAGCACCATCTTGCCGTCTGTCCTCATGCACGGCCCGTCAAGCAGAAAGTCAGGAAACAGGCAGTGGAGCGCCAAGAATTCATCGCAGAAGAAATCAAGAAATTGGAAGCAGCATGCCTTGTCAGAGGAGTGCTCCATCCTACGTGGTTGTCCAATCCTGTTGTCGTGCGCAAAGCTAACGGGAAATGGAGGCTTTGTATCGACT